AAAAGTGCTGAGTGGGGGTTGCCTTTATAATGTTATAATCATCTTTTGCCTCAGTATTGAGGTTTCTCCACCTGTATTGTTCTCGGTCACTAGAGAACCTGACCCTGCCTATGCACATTTATAAAATTTCTAAACAGATAGTCCAAGCGTAAAAAAACACACGTAGATAAGTCCCAGGCTTAATGAGCAGGTGTAGTCAGAGTCAATGCTGTTAAGAGATTTTTTAAAAGTGCTAATTCAAAGCCCACCTGCTGGAATTATAAGCAGCTATAGATTATTGTCAACTTTTATTCAAATACAAAACTTTTCTTCTGTTATTATCAATTGCCAGGCCCCAAATTTGTAAAATAATCCAGAACACATTAAACTTGAATGCTTTGGTAAAGATATCAACGGTTATGTGAAGGTCTGGTTCCAAGTGAGCATAGACTACAGCATCAGCAGCATCCTGGAGCTCAATGATTTGAGGTTGGGGTGGTTTTGCTTTTGACTCAGTCGGCTGAGATTAAGTAGTTTACCATCCACTTGGTAGTTTAGCTCCACTCCAATTGGAAGTTTGTTGTTGGTCAGATGTAGTATTGCGGTAACGAATATTGAGAAGAGTGTTGGAGTGATGACACAGCCTTGCTTAACTCCTGTCTTTACCCCAAAGGGATCTGTGATGGTTTCATTACTGAGAACCACTGCTTGCATAACACCATGGAGCAGACAAAGAATGGTGATGAATTTTAGTGGGCATCCATAGTTCAGAAGGATCTTCCACAACACTTCTCAGTTGACAGAGTTGGAGGCTTTTGTAAAGTCAAAGAAGGACACGTAAAGAGGTTTATGTTCCTGGCATTTTTTCTGCAGCAGGTTAGCTGTGAAGATCATATCAGTTGTGCCTCTTGATGCTTTAAACCCATACTGATATTCTGGGAAGAGCTCTTCAGGAAGTGGAAGGAGACGATTCAGGAGGGTTCTCTCAATGATCTTTCCTGTGATGGACAGCAAGGCGACCCCTCTAATTTCCACAGTCGGACTTGTCTCCTTTCTTGAAGATTGTTATAATCATGGCATCCTTGAGGTTGTCCGGGATTTTCTCCTCATTCCAAATCCTTACAATGAGGGAATGGAGCTGTGATATAAACTGCTCTCACCCCCTACTTGAAGATTTCAGTGGGGATTCCATCTCCTGTAGGTGTCTTGTTGTTCATCTGCTTGATGCCTTTTCTACCTCATCAAGGCTTGGAGGGATTCAAAGATGGAATTGAGAACACTTTTATTAACTAAGAGGGTTGCGATTGAGAAGGTCTTCAGAATGCTTCTTCCATTGGGCATTGATGGCTCCCCTTTCCTTGATCAGATCTCCTCCATCCTCAGGTCTCAAGGAGGTTGGTTCCTGAGTGCTTCCACCATAGATGGCTTTGGTGGCACTGGGAAAAAAACATGCGCATTTGTCAGCAAGCTATTGAATGTCCTTCATCTTGTCTTCCCACCATGTTCTTCACATTGCAGGTACTTCTTTGGACCTCTGCCTTGGCTTGTTGGTGATACCATTTCTTTTGCTTGGAGTTGGCATCATTCTGCCAAACACAAAAGGCCTTGCACTTGCAGTTGACCAACTCCTGGACCTCCCAGTCTTTCTCATCAAACCAGTCTTGATGTTTCCAGGTAAAGCATCCAAGTGTCTCTTTGCAGGTGCTGATGACAGTGGACTTGAAGACACCTCAAGTGCTGATGATATTTTCCCATTGTTGATTGGAATTCGCCAGTTTTTCATTGAGGCACTGATGGAAGATGTGACGCCACTTTTAAGGGCTGGAGCAGGCAGCCAGCAGGTGCCTGATTAGGGCAGCCATTTTAGAGCCCAGCTCTCTGAGCTGTGGCAGCAATTTGCTACCAGACAGCAAAGGAGGAACATCACCTCATGGAGCTACTGCTTCAGGAACATCCCAGAGGTCAGGGAAGGGGCTATAGGGAAGGAGGAGCCTGCACCCTTCTGGGGAAGGGCGACCTGGTGGGACTGCCGGTGGCAGGGCAGCCCCATGTAAATACCAAGACCGCTAACCTCCCCAGTGAAAGGTGGGTCAGGGTGCCTCAATAACCCCAGCCCCCATCATCCAGTGGGTTACTGGAGGGGAGGAGTGGGGCCAGGTATGCCTACCAAGAGGCACCTGAGCCCTAATGGGGGTGTAAGATCCTGGGCCCTAATGAGAGGGTGAAATGGGGCCAGGTATGTTCAGGGGGGGATACCTGAGCCTGTAGGGATGAAAGACCCCCAGCATAGCAGTTGAGTGTTGGCCCGAGGAGGGGGCAAAGTGGCCTGGTGAGGGGCTAGGGGGCGAAATTGGTCTATAGTTGGTTAATTGCCCAGCTTAGTTCAGATGACTGTCGCAGGCTGCACTAGGACTGGCCAAAATGAGGAGAGCAAAGCCTTGATGGCCTATGGGAGGTGCTCAGAGGAGCAGGGCAATGCCTTGGAGGGGGCATGCATGAAAGAGGCCTGGTGAGAGCAGGCAGTGTGAGAGGCCCCAGTGAGAGGGGGGCAGTGCGTGTGTGGTCCAAGAGGGCAGTGTGAGAGAGACTTGGCTGTATACCCAATTTGGCCCAGTCTTGAGCTGGAGATGTAACACACAGTGAGACAAACGTGTCCCATGCCTCACAGATAAGGGGTGGTCGGAGTGTGTACATACGGCCCATGATACAGCTGGGCACTCAAAGGTCAGCCTTCACCTAATTAACATCCTAATTAAAAGACAAGGCATGGCAGTGTGCGGGTCCTCTCCCGATCCTGCCTGGGTCGCCATGTGCGAGTTCTCTCCCAATCCCATCTGGGTCGCCATGTGCGAGCCGGGGGTGAGCCGGGCCCGTCTTTGTGCACACAGGCTGTGGCCGGCAGCCCGGGTACACGGGGCTGGAGAAAAACCACGGCGCGGTTTGGTACACTCGAGCTAGAATCAGTCACGGAGGCGTAATGGTTGATTGAAAAGATTATTTACTTACACCCAAGGTGGTCGCAGTGTAGGCTGGTCAGCTTTCCAGGCTCAGCTCCGCTTGAGTTCTCGGTGGAGGACTCTAATAAACTCGGTTCCTTGACCCCGGAGTGATTCAGGCTCTGCGGGTTCAAGAATTCGTTCCCACAGAGCAGCTGTATCTCCGTGAGTGTTACTCGGTTCCCAGGTCCCCTGGAGCTGTTAAGACTCCGTGGGTTCGACAGTTGGGTCCTTAGGACAGGGATACGTCTGGACTGCGATCGGCGATGGGGAGAGGCTAGAGGTTAGTTGCCTCGGAGTTGTTAAGGCTCCGAGGGTTCGGTAAATAGGTCCCCCGGAGTTGTTGAAGCGAACTCCACGTGCTTTCTCTCTCTCCGACTTGGGCGGAAACTACCCAAGCCTTTTGTACGGCTAGCAAGCCAATAGCTAGCCGCCACGTATGCCTACATTTAGAACCGGCCAATAATGTGGCACCAATCTAAATACAAATGGCAGGAACTCCTTTGCATCGTGCATCACTATAATGCAAAAGAAATGCACTATGCAAAGAAAGCTACAGAACTGGCGGGAAAAGCTCCTGCACACGGGTTCTCTGTTGCAGCAGAACACTCCACCGTGCAAAAGAGCTGCAATTTGGCGGGAACATGATTTAGCGATGCTGAAGCACACACAAACAAGAAAAACCACAACTTTGGGTTGTGACAGGCAGGTGTGTGAGGTGGGTGGTTTGCCCATAGGCAGGAAGCAGGTTGATATTGAGATCAGGCCTGGGAGCATGCCCCTGTCACAGAAGAGATCTCACTTGATTAGGTCCTTGAGTCCTTTGACGTTGATCTTCTATTGGCATTGCTTCTGCTGCAGTTGTGACTTGGGAGCCAGTTTGAGTAACATAACCAAGTGGATGGGTCAATGATTGGACCAGCAATCATCAGCTCCTAGCATAGCTCGGGTGATGCAGACATCTTTGCAGTCCCAGACACAAACAGTGATATAGTCAATCAGGTGGCAGTGTTTAGATTGTGGGTGTTGCCATGACGTCTTGTGCCTGTTTTTCTGGCAGAACAGGGTGTTGTTAGTGCTGGTGAGTCCATGGTCTGCGCATTTAGTCAAGAGGAGGAAGCTGCTGGAGTTGACCTTTCCTACTCCTTCCTTGCTGATGGTTCCATTCCAGTGGTTCAAGTCCCTTCTGACTCTGGCATTGCAATCGACAAGAAGAATAAGTCCGTCTCCCTCCAGAACATCAGAAATGACATTAAACTTAGTGTTATAGTGTCCTGAAGTAAATGATACATAATGATGCCAGGTGGCTACTTGCTGTGATATGTCACAAGGTGTTTCTTTTGCTGAAGGAAGAAACCTGTCTGTTGCAAACAAGAGGTGCTGACAAATGTATATGTTGCTTCCAGAGCAGTTGAGTGTTATGTGGTTAAGTGCAGGGTTTGTTTTGTTTTAGTTTTTTAGTTTAAATGCTGGATGGTATTCCATTTTATGAATTAAGACGGCTTCCCAGCTTTTGCACAAGATAAAATGTACCTGACAGAGGACACTCGGCAGATTTGCTAAATAGAAAATTCTTAATGCTGGAATACAGTCTTTCTGCATAGTACTGATAGTACTGCTTTTGGTATACCAGTCTGTCTCAAGGAAATGAGCTCCTGTAACAAAATATGGTAACCAGTAATGGGATTTCATTAATTACTGAGTAAGAAAAAGTTGATTTTTTTTTTTTTTAATTTCTTTTTCTGGCAGGAAAGTAGCAGCCAAAGCTTTGTGCATGGCAGTTTGCTAAACTGAGAATAGTTATCCATAATGTTGTATGTAATGTGTTGATTCAGCTTAACATTTCTTGTAATAGAATACATTTAGGTTTGAGTTCTCCTACCTGCTGTTGTCTGTTCATCACCTTCAGATTATGATATGTCAAAATTCAGAGTAATGCTTGGAATATTCAGTGCCTGATCTCTTTATCAATTTCTTTTTTTTTTCTTTTTTTCCTTTTTTTGCTTTGTTTTTTGTTTTTTGCAGAATTGATGTCTCTCAAAATGACCTCCCATGGGAATTTATGACAGATCGTCTCCCAACCATTTTGTTATTTCCTCAGAACAGGTAATGTTATTTCTTTCCTCAATACACATTTTCCTTCCTTTCCTGAGAGTTTGAAAATATATCTGGTGACTTGCCTCAGAAGAGGTGAAAGCCAAGGAGTGGTTCCTTTTCACGTATGTACAGTTCCTGCCAGTTCCTGTAGCTTCTAAAATACTGTATTTTCTTGTATGCCGTATGCCTCCTCCCTATTAAGATGCACAACTTATTTTTGAAAGGCAGAAGAGTGAAGACATTTTTTTGTCCAGAGTCATGACCAAGAGCTGACTGCATGCAGCAGTTCATTCACCGTCAGCCAGTTCACTGGTAAAAGCTACAATGTTAACTCTTTCATAGCCACTGCCAAATTGGCTGAACAGACAAAAACAGCTGCCAATTTGGCAATGACAATGAGAAGGTTAAACTGGACTTCCCGGCTGCCTGCTGGCATGTAGAAGCAGCAGCCATTACAGCACAGTGGCTTCATGCTTCTACGCCAGCAAAGATTGGCTTCCCTGTTAAGGCACACATTCCAATTTTGGAGGGCTGATTTTTGGGCAGAAGTATTTGTGGTAGGCCACAAAGTAAATACAGTAGGTATTTGGGAACAGATGATGATTTGTGGATAATGACTTATCCTGAAGTGTCATTGTTTAATAATTTGTTAAGATTTATTTGTAAACAACAATATGTATTGTTAATCATTATTTCGTAGTTAATTTTACTTCATTTGATTGTGTAGCAGTGCTTGGCTGGTGAGTTAGGAATCGATGAAAGACCATGAGAAAAAAGGAGGCAAGGGGATTCTGGTAGTAAGATTTAGAAAATCAGTAAACGAAGCTTGTCATCACAAACAGTTAAACAGATATGGGTTGGTCAGCATCTTTCCTACTTGAACTAATCTTGATCTCATTGTTAAGAGAATTTTAGAAGGGGGGGAATTTTAAATACATGAGGGAATCAAGAATTGAATAAAAATAGGAAGTAAAAATGCAAATAGGCAGAAGTTAAAATAAATATAAAAATTCAAATAGGCAGAAGTTAAAAATAAATAATACCAGTGGGAATTAAAGGGCGACTTACTGCATCCTTTGATCAGAATAGTTTGTTCCAGCCTTAGAGTTTATGAATCCTTTATCCTGCTCTGCAGTTTTTTCATAGCCAAACTGAACAGGAATGTGCGAATTTTCACCAGTCAAAAGTGACGTTAACTCAGATTTCACCTGCTCACAGTTTTGCATTGATATTTTTGCCACAGTCAACTTTTCTCACTTGCCTATAACTATGGCAGAATTGGAGTGCCTGAAGACTTCTTTGGGCTACACAGACAAGCACACCTCCATATTTTATGGAGGCAGAAAACATAGCTGCTTATATATGGACAATTTCATAATAATCTCTCTTTTTCTCCTTTCTTTTTTTTAATTGAAGGAATTCTCATTTGGAGTGAGTTTTAACATGCAGTTTAACCTCAGGTTAATTTATGCAATTTACTTAGTCATCTCTTACGTGCAAATCACAGTGTTCTGCTGCTAACCGGAGCTGCTTTTTCTAGCAGTCGTTTTCTGGTTTTCTTGCTTCTTTTGTAAAGTCATTAATTGTTTTATGATATCATAGTATTGCCACAAAGAACGTGACTACATGCATTTCACTTCAATATCAAATAGAAACAGATTATGGTTTGAGGGTGAAAAAACAGGTAGCTATAAAAGCATGCATCTGAAGGGAAGTAAATTTGTGGTTGAACATCTGCCTGAGCAGGAAATTATTAACACTTTTTGAAATTCTGCAGATCTTTAATGGAAGATGGACTCTGTTTAAGCAATTTTAACAAACCAGAGAAGAAAAAATACCTTTTGCAAATGCTAACCATGGGCTTCCTGCAGTGTTAGTTAAAGTTGAGTTGTATTTCAATCTCTGAACATGCATCAGGCACTGCCAGAGTTTTCAAGGGTTTCAGGCAAAAGTCACACTTATAAATGAAGTTTTATATCACGTAAGAATTTCCTCTGTAAACTGTTTATAGTGGGTTTGTTTCCTGCAAACTACAAGTTTTAGAAGCAATTTGTATAAAGTACAGGCCTTTTCAGTGTCAAATAGCAGTTTTGGGAAATGGCAGGGCTACATCATGTCGCTGGTGTTCTTAATATTATTGGCTATTTTTACTAGTAATATAGAGGAAGTGTAGCCAAAAGCAATCAAGCTTGATAGGGAGGAGGAAGGGCAGAGGAGTCTGTGCTCAGTGGACTCACTCCTCTCCAGAGGCTAAGATGGAAGCCAAAATTCATAAGTGTCACCATCACTCTGCTGTTACCATATTACCTGTGTAACCTGTTAGCAACGTGTCCCATCGCAGCTCAGTGTTGGTCCATGTAGAAGATAACCTACTGCTGTGATCAGTTTTTTCTGTTCATGTGACCAAGGTCTGTGCCAAGTCAGCCTATAATGACAGCATTCAAATAGTGATAATATCCATCATAGTGTTTTGTCTTTATGTGGACTTTGCATTTTTTGCTAAGCCTCATTAAGTTCTGCTAAGCCTCATTAAGGGTACACTGATGAATGGCTTCTAAGTGACACAAGACTGGGGTCAGAGAAGTGTCTGCATCATTGCTGCTTGTTTGTTATTCCAAGAATAGCTTAGCTTTGAAGAACAGCACCCTCATTTGGCACAAGTTTTTGAATCATTACTAAAAAGGGACCCGTATAACTATCCCATACGTCAACTAATTTGAAAATATTTTCCAGGATTTGAAAGAGAATATTTTGAGACAACAGTACTTCATAATCAGTTCTACTCTCCAGTGAAAAGAATTAAAATAATCAAACATTATTTCAGCTTATTGGAGAGCATTCTTACAATTGGAAGTAGCACTTGTTTTATAGAAGTGATAGGATATTTTTGAGGCACAAGGCCCTCCCTACATTTGGACCTGCAGATAGGAGGCACATAAGTCATCCACTCTCATCAGATTTTTTTACTTTCCGTCCATCCAGGAAACAGTCTGTCATGCATCTTTTTTTAGATCTTTTCATTCTTTTCTCCTATGTAGCATACTTTTCATGGGCTCAGCCTCAAGAGACATTCTTTGGACAGCATTATTAACATGGCATATGTGCATCCCCTCACTCCTTATGCTTCACACTGAGCGCAGAAAAGGTGGAGTATGCCAGCTGTACTTCAGATCTTTTCAGCTCGAGAGACAGCTCTTTGCTTCCGTCTCCCAGACTGCCAAACTCTTTACTACTACTATTAGTAGTTTTTGATAGTTTAATAGGTCAGTGGAATAGTTTAGTAGTTTAATAGGTCAGTGCTTTTTAGCAACTTGCTTTTGAAGAAGCTATTGCTTGACTTCCCTCACCCCCAAATAGTGCCACAGTATCACCTAGTGCGATGCATTTCTCCTTCACATGGCAGGGATATCCTAGTGAGTGCCTTGACCATCCAGAAGAATCTTACACTCCAGGAAAATGCTACATATAAGTTCTTTGCCTCCCAAACTCACAAAGCTGTGGGGGCAAGGCAGGAGATATAACTCCTGAGCAAATGATTGGGGCCAACTTTGGATCCAGGAGCCCAGGACTCCTTTGGTCATGCTTCCATAAAACCTAAGAGCACGTCCCCCTGTCTGACAAAGTAGCAAGGAATAAAATCCTGTATGAAGACCCACTCCTTTTGGAAGAGATGTCTATCCTCACACAAGACCCCTATTAAAACTGTACAACTGCAAGGGGTTTCTGACAAAGTTTCTGTCAGGTTGTTGAGAGGTGAAAAATCAACATTACAGCACTGCAGAATACCTCTCTTCCTCGTGGGGCCTAGCTATCAGCAGACCTGATGACTAAAGGGACAGGTGTGGCAGCGATCCCTGTTACTTGCACCAAGGCATCCAGCACTGGCCATACATCTACAAGGACCTCTCCTCCCCGCCCCCTGAACAACCAGGAACCCTGGCCATGTTCATACCCCAGGAACCTAAATTGCCAGTTAGGTACTTCCATCTTTGGAATTGACATCTCTGAAAATCCACTCCTCAGTACTGATGCCATCAGCACTACTAGTGGATTTTATATGCTCATCTTCATTAGTGTCCAAGGATAGGTAAGGCTCAGAGCACTCATGGATGCCCCCAGGAATATCCCTCCAGCCTTCTCAGTTTCCCATAAGGTGTTTTGGGGATCATGCAAGATACACATCTCAGACACCAAAGTCTGACACCTTGGCTTTGGGCCCTTTCTGTCAGTGCCATGGGCCATGCATGCAAGGGAAAGATGTTTACCAGAACACATGCTATTGCCTTATGGGCCCCTCATTCAATAGTCTTGGTCACCTGTGCCTCCCAACAGCCCCCTCTTAGTGTCTGGCCCTATGGTGAGAGGATGTTCCTTTGTGTGTGATCCAGCTTCCCCTGAACCCCCTCCCACTTTCTCACATTAAGAAGTATTCAAACTCTAGAATAGGTGTATCAGACTCCTAACCTCCATTTCTGTGGTACTCTGTCCAGTTTTGGGCCCCACGCTTGGAAAGAGTCCAGTGCAGAGCAACTAAATGATAGGGGCCTAGCAGGAAAGACTTATGAGCGGCTGAAAGAACTAGGGTTACTTAGTCTGGAGAAGAGAAGACTGAGGGGAAATTTGATAACACCTGAAGAGTGATTACAGAGAGGATGGAGATAGGCTTTTCTCTTGTGTGTGAGGGGACAGGACTAGGAGCACTGGCCTCAAGCTGCAGCAGGCAAACTTTAGGTTGGAGATTAGAAGGAACTTCCTGAATATGGGGATGGTCAAGCATTGGAAGAGGCTACCTAGGAAAACTACAGAATCTCCATCCTTGGAAACTTTAAGATCAGGTTAGACAGACATTTGGCTGGGATGGTCTAGTCAGGGATGATCCTGCCTTGAGCAGGAGATGGACTAGATGACTGAGGTCAGCCCTGTTTTCCTATCTTATGATCTTCATGTACACATCTGCCTCATAACAGCTGGGCAGATAACTTATGCAGATACCTCTCTTCAAATCCTACGTGATGGACCAAATAGTCTGGGGTTTTTTTTCTCTAGGAATAGCCACTTAAATTACATTTAGTTTCCTGTTAAGGTACTATCTGGCAAACAAAGGACTTAGGTGAACATTCAACATAGAAAGAAACCATGATCTCTTTCCTAGAAATGTTTGAGAGCTACTTCTATATCCAAATCCTTTTTAATCCCTATAAATACAAAAATAGCACAATTTTGAAAGAAGTATATTAATTTTTTGCTCATTATTAACACTAGTGAAGTTTGGTGTGGCAAGTGATGCAGATGTACACACTTAGCTTATAAACAAATGAGTAATTTTGACAGTTACACTCTTAAGGCTATAGCATGGCTGTTCAAGAACATGAGAAAAATGAGCTAATACAGACTAGATTTCCATTTCAACATTTTAATGGGACAATGCAAAATTATCTCTCTTCCATCTCTTAGGTACAGCATCTCAAGTTGTATTTGCAACAGTACCTAGCATCCAGACACAAAAGTGCATGCTTAGAAATTTATACAGTTAGTGTGTTAATACTTACAGAAAAGAAAAGCTTTGAAGAAGTACCTTTGGAGATGTCGATTTGGGCAAGAGATTTCACACATCAAGTGGATCAAATTTCCTGGAGAAAACTGGAATAAATTTAAGGATACTGACCACACTTATGAATGCATCTTATTTTTCAAGCTCACGAGTTGGTTACTGCACTTAAGCTATCTTCCAATTCTAGCTTGTTTATACCAAAGGATATCTTAGTTTCTGAAATGAGAATTAGTTGCTGATGTAACTTTCCTCTTTAAGCACCAAAGATTGTTCGCTGCTCTAAGTCTCCTCCTAGATGAGAAGTCATAGGTGTTGACTGTGTGGGGAGCTAAAGGCACTGGCCCCCTCGGGAAAAGGGCTGTCACCCGGAATGCATAATACTTTCCATGTACCCATCATCTTGGGCCACCTCTCAGCGAAAAAAAAAGTTTGTGTCTATGTGAGAAGTACTAAATCACCATGCGGTCAGGAACACCTTGTAGAATTTTCTTCAGTCTCTTAACTGCTAGTAACCTAACCATGACAAATGGTGGTGTTTCTGGCAAGCGTATCACTATATTCATACTAAAGTAAAAGTACTTAAAAATGAGTGACAAAAAGTAATGCTGCATTGCAAAATATTGTGCAAAATATTTAGGTTTTCTAGGTTGTGGATTTTTTAATTTTTTTAAACAGTTGATTTCAGTTCACCTACTCTAAGCTTCGGAAGCTTTGCTGTGCGTTTCTATCAAGATCAACTGAGAGAAAATACAAAAACTAGTAAAGGCTGTAAGACCAAGCCACTCAAGTCCTGCAGTGGCTCAATCGTAACGTTCTTTTTTTGGTTTCCTTGTTTTTCTGTATCGTTTTAGACTATATTACACGCAAAGGTTTAATAAGGGAAGAACAAGAAAATATCAATTCCATGTACTCTAAGCAAGAGTGTATGGCAGTTAAATTTGAGCTCTTTTACATGTCACTGGCAGGCAAGGATCTTTGAGTAGATGTGATATCTTTTATTAGTAAGCTTTCAGGCACAGTCACCCTTGTTCAGGAATAGGGAGTCTCTGCTTGTCTGAGACTCCAAGGTGATCGCGCCCGAAAACTTGCTAAGAACTTTTTCCCAACTACTCAGTTGGTCTAATAAAAGATATCACATCTAACCAAAGAACCTTGCCTGCCCATGACCTTAGACCAACATGGCTACAACCGAAAACCCAGCAACATGTCTAGATGTCACTTATATTTGACACCCTGTGTATAATGCAGTTTGGTCAATTTTAAGTACTGGTAGAAACATTTTTACAGCAGTATTTTAACTGTAGGTATGTGGGCTTTTTCTCCTCTTAGGAAGGACCAAAGTGTGAAGTTTCCTGAAGATTTTTCAGTTACCGTACCTAATCTGCTTAAATTCATTTTACGTTACTCAAGCCAACCTTCATCTGCATCTGACTTGGAGTCCTGCACCAAAGAGTGTCTGCAGAAAGAAGAGGCAGCATTACAACAAAGACGCATCTCCCATCTAGAGAGAGAGATTGAGAAATTAAGATCAGAAGTCAGTGCCATACACCAGACCCATGAGCAGCTTGAAGCCCAGCTTTCAGAATCCAGGGCAGAAGAACATAGATTACAACAGCAGAAACACACACTAGAAAGGCAACGTAAGACCCTCCAGCTTCACAGTGAGCATTTACAGACCATCTGTGAACAGAAGAACAAAGAATTAGAAGAAATGGCTGAAAAGCTTCAAGAATTAGCAGATGCATCAGAAAACCTCCTTAAAGAGAATGCTTTACTAAGAGTTTTGGTGGCATCTATGGAAAGGAAACTAGAGAATAAAGATGAAAATAAGAAATATGTTCTCTCAGAGGAAATGCTTTCCGATGACAATACTGGGACAATTCCAACAGCTACTGACAGATTACATGACGAAAGAGTTGATATCAATATTGACACCAGAGTGACTGAGCAGAGTAAGGAGAACAGGACAGAATAATTACTTATAAACTACAGGAAAAAAAATCCACAAATGACACTGTATTGGGAAGGTATTTATGCAAATTTTATTGAAATTTATTGTAAATAAAGATTCCCCATGGCCTAGAAAAATCAAACTGGAATATTTTTGTAATGCTTTAAAGAATTTAAGACACCCATGTCTCGAAGCCTCTTAAACTGAGAACAGTATTTGAAATGCTCTTTGCACTTTACTATTGCACTAATTGGATAGTTCTTCTCAGTGTCACTTAATTTAATGCTAATTTCTTGGGGCAGCAGTGTGAAGCACCTCCTGTTAAGGACCAGTTTCTATTTTGCACTGACTTCCTCCCACATCTCCTAGAGGAAGAATTCATTTATACTTTTCTAAGGAAGTTCGGAAACTCTGTCTCCACTGCATTTTCCTTTGTTTGCAGAGTTGATTGGAAATGCTGAATCTGTGTATTTAGTAAACTTGAATGAAAAACTACTGAGTGGTTAAAATAGTCTATCATTCCTATTCCAGTATTTCAGCAGCACTGTATCTCACTTGTGTGTTCCACATTTAGCCTCTGACAGTGTTAAAGAACAAGGTTACATGGAGACAAGGTACAAAAAGGGAGAAATATTTGATCTCATCTTGGCTACTTAAACTTGTGTCTTTGTTTACTCCTCCCCTTTTCTGCTCAGAATTTAGTTTGGGTTGTTTTGAGATGCTAAAAACAAGTTTAGTTTAACTGACTGTCTCAAACAATTTAGAATCTGGAGTTTTAAAATGAAACCCAGTCGCTTTGGAGCAGAGTATGAGGACATCTTCCCTCTTCCCAGGCAGTTGTGTTCCACCCCTGCACTGGAGGCTAATGGGAGAGCTTCCAGTCCAGGAACACTGAACTTCTTTGAGCTAGTTCGCTGCAAAGGCTAGCTAGCAAAAAAAGAGCATTCTGATTTTTTTCAGCCTCAGCTCAGTCCATGCACACACAATTAAGAATGGGAACAGGGTGCAACAAGCTTATCAAATCAATCTCTGGAATAGATGGCTTAAGCCCTACCGTGCCAGAAAAGACTTTTGTAATTATTAGAGATGTTTACAGTTGTTACTTATTGGTATTTAGTCTGAAACTTCCTCCACCATTGGGAAATGTTGAGTTTTTGCATCAACAGCTTGTCCCCAGAACAGGATCGTTCACTATGCATCTCAGAACTGGCTTGACTGGCAAATAACAGTTGAAGCATTTAATTAAATCCCTCAAATGGTGTATGAACTATGTCTGCAAAGAGCTGGGGAATTATCTACGTGTAGGGTTATTTCAACACTGTCTACATAGGATTTGTGGAACATTTTAAATGTAATCTTTTGATGGTGGTTTAGAACCTCGCTTACTGTCTATATTTCTGTAGGTCAGGCATCTGTTACCAGTTTTGTTAACCTCAAGGGAAAGTAGGAAATAGGAAGGCCCTCCTATTTAAAAAAACATACTTCAACCTGCACCAGACTTGAAGAAGACCCCTGCTACCCTCCACTTAAACCCATCCAAAACCTTCCCTCCCACCCACAAAGTTTAGTTGTTACAGGACAGACTTCACTTGTCCTACAGTGACACTAAACAAAATTATCTACAAAATATGTTATGTAGTCTACAGTTAACAGTTTCATGTTAGACTAAAGGGCTTATACAACAGGCTGTTTCTTCATGTTTACATATGCCCCCAGTGCTAGGTACACGTATAAACAGCGGTTACAGGAAAAGTCAGACTAGTTACATTTATGCCAGTTCTAGTGAAAAAGAACCACTTCTGCAATGTTAACATGCTTACTCACAGAAGGGAAAGATCTGCTCTGCTGCCATGTTAACTCTTCTGGAAACCTTCTGGACCATCTATGAAGTTAAGTAACCATCATTAGTTCCCAGATTGGATGGAATTGGTTAATATGGCAGCTTCCTTGCAGTAGCTACATGGTTAAGAGCACTCACAGTATTAGCAGCTAATAGCTTAATCTACCTAAAGAAAAAAGGTACATTTTTTTTCCTTGTAGTTCCTGTGCTTTCTGCCCAGACACCCTAAGGAAATGACATGCCTGCATTCAAGGAAAGTGTTCTGCATCAGTCCCATAAGCTGTTTAAAAAACAAAACAAAACCCAAACCAGGCAGTTCTGTCTTTATGGCTCTGCACTCAGAACTTCATTGTAGAAACGAGCTTTAACTGCAGATTTGGTTTTGAAGGTCTGGAATCCCATCTATCGTGACGTGGCTCAGAAGTCCAAGTGTGTACTACTTGGGTTTACTTCATACCACTTCCATGTCTGTGGAACATAGAGCAAAACTCCTGGCAGCCTATTCACAGTTCACAGTTTCAAGTAGTTCACATTACAGTAGTAGCTCAATCAATAGGCTCAGCTAAACATTCAAGTAACAAAAATGCCATTAACTTCTTGCCAGTATATCCCTGTGTGTCCATTGCCGGCAATGGACTTTACAGCAGGGAAGTCTGCTCCTAGAGCCAAGCAGTTGAAGTACAGGATTGATGCAAAGTATAATATCTCAGTGCATGCAGTTGCAAACCAACAAAGCTGTATCACATGCTGCATCTCAAGAAGGTGTTTGCTGAGGAGAACAGCATGTGTATGTTTAAGTCCTTCACAGTATCATTTCTGCTGGTTACACACATCTCAGATGTAGTCCAGATACACATTATGCTGCTTTAAGTTAGCTATGAACTTCTGTGCCATTAGGAGTCAGCTTAGCTTTCCTCTCAACGCAAGGTCCTTTAGCAGAGTACTGTACCAAAAGAAAAGGCTCTTTGGTTTCTCCTTCTCCCACAATGCTCTCTTCATCCTCAGACTGGCTGATCCTCTGCAGGCGCAGATAACACCAACAGCCCAGTATCAAGGCACCCAGGGCTGCAATGGCAATCAAAATAACAATGACAGTCACCACTCCAGTGGTGGGGCTATGGTCCATAATAGACATGGTCAATGTTTAAGTTCAGATCACAGAGCTTAAAAGATGGTGGTTCTGTCTTTGATATCAGTTTTAAAACTCCTGGAAAATAGAAAAGACAGACACTTAATGCAAGTATACTGCAGTTATCCCAGTCTTTCCACATTCTGCAACTTCAGTGTCAGTGTTGGTGCTGCTACCCATGGTAGCGAACACCTGTCTTGCTGTTAGCATCCAAGGTTCTGGAATTGGACAGATAGTTCTTCCTGAAAGCCAGCTGTGCTTCACACAGCCTTGAACTTGCAAGGTCACAGAGACCTATAGCTTCTAGTCCCCATAACTTTGCTTCATTGTGTGAAAGGCTATGGTTGTGGCATTTTTGCCATACTGGGTCATGTAACTGTCTAGTATCACAAGATCCTAAAAGGATTACTTGAGCAGAAGCAAAAAGATGCCTAGTTCACATGTGCAGAAGTACCCATATTCACTTGAGACTCCCTCACATGCTCCTCTCTGGGAGTTTACCTATGATGATAAGTTCACAAGTGTGTTCATAATTTATATGACCCCAATAACTAAGCAAACCTTTGCTGTCATTAAAGTTGCTAAACCTCCACTGCATATTCATCTTCCAAGGACATTCCCAGATTTGAGGAAAATTCTTTCCTCTGCATCTAATGGAAACTATTATAGTGTAAAAGGATTTATAATATATACTGTAATGTATATGCTGAAATTATGCATAAGCTTTTGTAAGATTTATGGCCAGGTAGCAGTTTAACTATTTATTTATTCAAAGTGGTTTAAGAGGAAGCCCTGAGTATTAAGAAGCACAAATACGCTGAAGTAGCCTTATATAGGAAAGTTACATCAACTATGAAAGCCCTGTACAAGTGTGAATCTTATGGGGAGGGTGCTGAAAGTTGTAATTTGTATGCAATATTTGGGTGCTCAAACTTGGAAGGAGCAGGTTAGTTGCTAAATACAAAGTGTGTGCGTGCTAAAAAAATAACAGATTTCACAATAGCTCTGATACAAAACTGCTCTGACTTGAGACTTTTCTAAACCATGATTTTTCTTCATAGATTCATAGAAGTAGGGTCAGAAGGGACCTTGTAGATCTTCTAGTCTGACCCCCTGCCCTGGGCAGGAGAGAAAACTGGGCTTAATTGACCCCAGCTAGGTAAATGTCAAGCCTCCTCTTAAAGACCCCCAGGGTAGGAGCCAGCACCACTTCCCTTGGAAGTTGGTTCCAGATCCTAGCCGCCCTGACTGAAGTAGTGCCTTCTAATGTCTAGTCTAAACCTACTGTCTAACAACTTATGGCCGTTATTCCTTGTTACTCCAGGAGGCACTCAGGGGAACAAGGTCTCTCCCAATCCCCGCTGGTCCCCCCTGTCATAACCCAAGGGTATGATTTTGTGTGTGCTTCGGCACTGCAGAATTATTTCCCGCCACGAGGAGCTTTCTTTTCACAGTGCAATTCTCAGTTGCATGGGGAAAACCCCGGTGCAAAGGAGTTCCTGCCATTCGCATGCAAATTTGTGTCCCACTATTGGCCAGTTCTAAATTATTCCCACGTGGCGGCTAGTGATTGGCTTGCTAGCTGTATAAGAGGCTTGAGCGGTTTCTGCCCAAGTTGGAGGACTCCACAACCATCTGGAGGAGGAGAAGGAGGACTTCACATCTTGTGAAGAACTCTAAGCGCTGCGGAGCCTAACAAACCCAGCGTGTGCCTTAAGAAGGATATAGGGGCCTGATCAACCTCTAGCCTCTCCCCGTCGCCGCCTAATCCCTGGACGTACGCTTCCCTGTGCGCTCGTTCCACGGAGCCTAGCAAACTCCGTGTGTGTGTGTGTATCCAGAGCTCTACTCTGAGTTGTTTTCTCCGGTTGATTCGACGGGCTCGCGATTCTAGAGCTTTCAGCCAGCCTTGGACTAGAGTTCGCGGTTAGAACACTTGTCCGCTCTTCTTTCCTATCTGTAACTGCAACTTAAGCGAAGTTTTCTCCTGCCTGCACCGCGACCATCTACGGTGTCAGTAAAATAATCTTTAATGAACTGCTATGCGTCCGTGCCTAATTCTAGTCCACTGGCCTGCATTCCCCGACCCACGTGCCAGGGTTGCTGGCCACAGCCCGCCACACGCCCCCGAAAGCCTCAGACCGCTCCCGGCCCGCACACCCCGTAGTAAGTTTATAGACAGCCACCAGGTCCCCCCTCAGCCTTCTCTTGCGAAGGCTGAGCAGGTTAAGGTCCCATAGCCTCTCCTTGTACGATCTGCCCTGCTGTCCCCGGATCATGCGATTGGTCCTCCTTTGGACCCTCTCGATGCTGTCCACATCCCTCCTGAAGTGCGGCGCCCAGAACTGGACACAGTACTCCAGCTTCAGCCTGACCAGTGTCGCATAGAGGGGGAGGATCACCTCCTTGGACCTGCTTGTGATGCATCTGTGGATGCACGCCAAGGTACGGTTAGCCCTACTGACTGTGACCTCGCATTGTTGGCCCATGTTCATCTTGGAGTCAGTAAAGACTCCAAGATCTCTTCCTGCCACCAGCTTTCAAGAAGGGAGTTCCCTAGCCTATAGGTATGGTGCTGGTTCTTACTGCCCAAATGCAGCACCCTGCACTTGTCAGTATTGAATTTCATCCTGTTTTCATTTGCCCACCCCTGTAACCTGTCCAGGTCCCGCTGTAATCTCTCCTTTCCTTCTAGCATGCCCACCTCACCCCAAAGCTTGGTGTCGTCTGTGAACTTAAACAGGGTGCTTTTCACCCCCTTGTCCAAGTCGCTAATAAAGAAATTGAACAGTGCGGGCTGTTCTTATAGCAATTGTTCCCAAAGCACAACTAGTGAGGAAAGACTTTTTCCAGCTAATATACAGATAGAATTCAAGGTACTGCAGAATGTCAAATATTTAAAAGATTAAGAGGTTAAGGGAGGAAACTTCTGAGAGAAGCTGGCCCAAGGCAAGGTAAGTAAAACACGATATGGTCTGACTTGCAAGCTAAGGCTTGGTTAAATGGAAAGAAGGATGACACCACTGCACAGCTCCTCATACATGTTCTACTTGTTGTGTCGCTCCATTTCTTTCACTGGGGCCTCCACTGCTTACCATAAGCAGCAGCATGTGCACTACTGCAATACCATAAAGCAAACTCATGGCTTCAACTCCCAACTAGCTGAGCTTCCTGAGAGCCTGACTTGTCAGCACTTAGTGCCTAAGGTGGCAACTGCATTCCAAGTTACTAATCCCAGAGCAACTCCATAAAGCTCAGTGCTAGCCAGTGGATGAAATCAAGCTGAAGCCCATAAGCATAATTCATCACGTCACCATGTGTTATGCTGACTCAGTGCATGTAGCAGTGACAGATGCTGTTTTGCATGAATTTTTAGTCAGACGGCTGCTCCTACATTTAAACCTAGTGTCAGAAGCTTCTGCTCTTCTCAATTGCTTTAAAACTGCAGAATCAAAGCAAAGCGTTACAATTAAAGCTGAAAGTGAAACTAGAAGGTGGAGGTGTGGAGGGCACCACACAATCCTTCTCCTAGCACCAGTCACAACTCTTAGGATCCTTTACAGATATGTTACTTAAGGAGCCAACAGTTTCCTTTTTCAAACTTTCCAGTCATTAACAGACCACCGTGGTGTACCCACTTTCCACAGGTCCTTTATCTCAGCCGACAGCCATTCCTCCTTGGGTTTCTCACCAACTCCTACTTTCACAATAGGACAAAGCCCTATAGAGTTAAACACTGAGTCTGAATATTGGCTAAGAAAATGGCTGAAGTCTGCTAGTGGCTTAGAGCTCAGCAGCTGAACTTTCAGCAGCAGTAGAGGGCAGAAGAAAAGACCCTAACACTGCCAAGGTAATGACAATAGTGCTGGAAAGCAACAATGGATAGGTTGTCCATAAGGACAAGTCTTTTCTCCCCTGCTGTATCTGACAATAGTCTGCGTAGCAGAGGTAAAGAGCAAGAGGACTACCTGGTTGCTTCATTGCTACCCCATTCTGTTGAGTGGGGAAGGGATGGTCCTTAGACTTTACAGCCTTCCCGAGCCCCTTGAAGGAAGCTTCCTCACAAAGGGGAATCGGTCTCTCCTGTCTTAAAGGAAACAAGTGCTACATTGTGCAAAACCAAGGACTTAATGGAGTAAGTAACAGCTACTTCAAGTCAGAACTGTCTGATAAAAGCTGGCTAAAGGGCAAGGTTAGATGAGGAGCTGTTGCTCTGAATTCAGCTGGAAACCCTTGTGGACAGGGGAGAGTGAGACTGGAGATCAGGGTGCATATACCTCCAATTGCTTACCAAATGGCAGGCAGTTTGGAGAGAATAATTAGGGTTACCATATGTCTGGGTTTTTCCAGATGTGTCCCCTTTTTAGACTGTCTGATCTTGGTCCACGAGTTTTCTTTAAATATGATCAAATGTCCAGGATTTTGGTCAGCTCAGCTTCAAAGTTTTTCCTGGCACTTCCTGGCTTGCCCTAGCAGGGAGCTGCTTGGAGGTGGAACAAAGTGATTGGAGGCAGGATGCAGGCACACGGAGCCAGCACAGGGTGGGAGCAGCCTGGTAGCTACTTTACAAGAAAGTCTGTTG